ACTATGAAAGTTGCTAATTAATTGCCCAAGCTATATCTAGGGCCAGATTTTATGTGAATAACATTAAATTCACCACACTATGCTATTATATGATTTATGTGGACCACCTTTATGCTGCTTTTGTGGAGCTTTTTGTCATTTTGGAGCTTAAAAGCCTTAATCCTCATATTAAAAAGTGCTTTATTGAAAAGTATGGCCAGAATATTCTAGAATGTCAGTGTTTTTATTTTATTTTGTTTTATTATGTCTGTAAATGTTTTGTATAATTAAACAACCTTTTTACAATTGTTTAAAAAATTAAGGTTGTGGCATTTTATGTTAATATATATATCACTTTTAATATACAAATCTGTACATATTTAATAAGATTATAAATGCACAATGCACAAACTATTGTTTTTATGTTTATTTTTGATGTGGCATGGTTTCATTCTGACTGAAGGCTGTTAATATTTTTGTTCATGAATTGTATCAGGTTCACGACCAGCCGTTATACGTGGTCATTCAAGAGGCTATGCAGTGTCATATGCAGGGAATAGAGTTCAGAGAGAGAAACGCAGGTCCACAGATCGACCACAACATGCGAGATGAAGGTGAGTCATTTTCTAAGACTGTTTTTCCATGTCTGTCTCAAAACATACCTTGCTTTTCCTATTGTCCTGTCCCATAGGCTTTAATGTGGAGGCCAAAGTAAATCCCGAGACAGGATTTGTTTATGGTGGAAAACGCTTCAACTGTGGGACGTGGATGGATAAAATGGGAGAGAGCGACAAAGCCAATAATAGAGGTGTTCCAGCCACACCCAGGTACTATAACCACCCGCTAACATACCAGTCATGCTAAACCCATATAATAATGCTCCACTGTATTTAGCACAAAAGAACGCTTTCAATGTGAAACACTGAGATTGAGTAGCTTTGAGCCTATACGTCAAGTGGATGATGGTGTTGTGTTTATGTGCAGGGACGGCTCTGCGGTGGAGATTGCGGGTCTCAGTAAGTCAGCAGTGCGCTGGCTGATGACGATGAATGAGAATGGAAATTTCCCATACTCCTCTGTCACAATACACAGAGATGGTACATCCTCTGTAACACATTCTCATTCTCAATGAAACTGTATTTTTTGTTTGTTACAAAATAAGGTATCAGAAATTAAATATTGTATTTTAATACAAAGTGATTTTTACAAATTTTTATTAATATTTGTATTTGTTTTATTTTAGTTTAGTTTTACAAAATAAGGTGCCAAGATTTTTTTGTTTATTTTAATTTATTACAAGATAAAGTGGCAATAATAAAATATTTAGTTTTAATTCATTTTATTACAAAATAAGGTGCCAGTAATTAAATGTTTTTTTTGTTTTATTTTTTGTTTTTATCATATTTTGTTTTGTTTTATTTTATTTTATCTTGTTTTGTTTTGTTTTATTTTATTTTATCTTATTTTATTTTGTTTTATTTAGTACTTTATTTTAAATAAGGTACCACTTCTATTTTACTTTATTTACATTCCGTCAAAAAAGATTAAAACTACTACCAAAGGAACTTTTTAGTGGTGTGCCGTGTGCGTATGATTGTTGCTACAGTGACTCACTTTTGAGTCTAAACATTTGTGTCCTGTTGAAAAGACACCTTCAGTAGTATCGTAATTCGCTGTTATGATACAGTATATTCAGCTGACGGCATGCTAATCAATTTTCGTATATTTTAAAGATTCGTCAGGACCATTACGGTTTCATTTTTCCAGGAACAGAGCAGTCGGTGTCCTATAAAGAGTGGAATCAAAGGATCCAGGAGAATTTTGAAAGATTTTTCTACGTGTCAGAAGACCCTTCAGACCCAAATGAGCAACATCCTGACCTGGTCCACAAGAAATGCATTTACAAAGACAGTTACGGGGCCTCTAGCCCCTGGTGTGACTACCAACTCAGACCTAACTTCACCATCGCCATGGTGGTGGTGAGTCCAAGTGCTTATAAGAGATTCTTTCCAAGAGTTTTTGAGGATGTTCTGTTATACAGTCTTTTGTTTCACTAGGCACCAGAGTTGTTTACAGTGCAAAGAGCATGGAAGGCTTTAGAGATAGTAGAGAAGAAGCTGCTCGGTCCTCTGGGAATGAAAACGCTGGATCCAGAGTGAGTAGAAAACAATACCTGCTGTCTACCTGTTGGTTAAGCAGCTGCTTGTGTTAAAAGTGCGCTCTTCTGGCTGGCTGACTGGACATGGTTTGATAAGTGGTTTAGTCTAGAACAAGAACATTTGTGCATGGGTGAAGTCATTATATGTATTAATCTCTGATGTTGGTGTGTCTGTATTTGTTTAACAGTGATCTGGTGTACTGCGGTGTTTATGACAACGCCCTGGATAATGACAATTACAACTATGCGAAAGGATTCAACTATCACCAAGGACCTGTATGTTTTCATACATTAAAGGAATAGTTTGTCCACATTTAAAATTTTGTCATTGTTTCCTCACCCTCATGTTGTTCCAAACCTGTATGAATTTCTTTCTTCTGCTGAATCCTAAAGAAGATATTTTGAAGAATGTGAGTAACCAAATGGTTTCTGGTCCCCATTGACTTCCATAGTGTTTTCTCGATACTATGGAAGTCAATGGGGACCAGCAATCTTCTTTTATGTTCAACAGAAGAAAGAAACAAGGAACAACTTGAGGGTGAGGGAATGATGACAGAATTGTCATTTTTGGGTGAACTATCCCTTTAACAACGATAAATTGTTTTGGATGTGAGAGATTTCATTGGTTTTCTAAATGCATATTTCAACATTCATTTACAGGAATGGCTGTGGCCAGTTGGATACTTCTTACGAGCCAAGCTTTATTTTGCTAAGAAAATGGGCCAGGAGAAGTACAATGAAAGTGTGTACCTGGTCAAGAATGTCCTATCTAGACTTTATACCCATTTAGAAAGGTATTACAAAGCTCACACTAATAAAATAATACAGTTTTATTTTTTTCAAAATGGTGGAATGATTTGAATCTACAGGTGAGTGAGTTTAGAAATTCAGTATTTGAGTCATTTGCACAGTATATAACATTTCTTATCTATATGTTCTCTTTGATCTAGATCACCTTGGAAAGGTTTACCTGAGCTGACCAATGAAAACGGACAGTACTGCCCGTTCAGTTGTGAAACACAGGCTTGGTCTATCGCCACTGTTCTGGAGACCCTATATGATTTATGATTATATCAAGGACAAGCTCTCATATACTTCTTGCCACCTTCCTGAGAAGTTCAGAGGACATTGTTTTACATTCATAACCCTGTGCAGACACAAATATGCCCTGCTACTCTCTGAGATGTTTTAGTGTTTGGAAGAAATGGAAACACTTTATCTTTTGATTGTGCCAATTCACTTTTAGAGAGATTTTTCTGTCATGTTTACAGTCTTGTTAGTTACTACCAGCATATTCAGATTCGGTTTGTTGGTTAAAAAACAGATTTATGCCCATTTGTGATTGATTATTAAAGTACATACACTCTTAAAAATAAAGGTGCTTCAAAAGGTTCTTCAAGCGATGTCATAGAAGAACCATTTTTGGTTCCACAAAGAACCATTCAGTCAAAGGTTCTTTAAAGAACCATCTCTTTCTTACCTTTTTGTAATCTGAAGAACCTTCTTTCGCCACAAATAACCTTTTGTGAAACGGAAAGGTTCTTCAGATGTTAAAGGTTCTTTATGGAACCATTTAGACAAAAAGGTTCTTCTATGGCATCGTGAAGCACCTTTATTTTTAAGAGTGTATGATGCTCCCTCAAGACAAAAAAATAGATTCCCTACCTCTAATACAACTGGTCTTTTATTTCATTCTTTAAATTCATATTACAAAATCTTAGCTATTACAAACCAATCTTAATTTAGATCCACAATATGGACAGTCTTTCTTTTTTTGCCAAGTCATGGTTGCTTCGTTGTCTGTCCATGGGCAACAAAAGCTCATGGTTCTGCCTACTTTACACAACAAACTACTGCAGGTAAAATGACTCATGCCTTACAGAGATGCCCTGCCCTTTTTAGGAATTATTTTTATCTCAAGTTTGATCCAAGATCAAAAACAACTTAAAAACAACCCAATAAAAAAATACAGTGTTGCCATAGAACGCCTTGATTTTTCTTCCTTTTGTAGCTATTCAGGATGGTTGGAATTGAAAACAGATGAGATTTAAATTCCCTGGGTCGCCCCTACAAGGAAAACACGATGAATTACAAATTATACGTTTTTTCTCGGCATCTTTGCTAATTGCTTTGATCAATTTTGTCTAAAATACAGTTACAGAAAATGTAGACTATATACAGTATATTATTTACACCACATTGGTAATGCAATTTCTCACAGGATTTTTTTAAAACGTAATAGTAATATTAGAAAAGTAGAAAAGTAATATCAGGTATTTTAATTAAATTGATGTTATGTTTTACGGAAAAGCCAAAAAATGAATGCTACACTCTAAAAAATGCTGGGTTAAATACAACCCAGTGCTGGGTAAAATAGGGACAAACCCAGCAA